CGTAAAACAACAAACAAACACAACTAGTTTTAATAAAACCTAATAATGGGCTTTGTTTTATTTTTTTATGTCGAGATATACATAATATCAGAAATACATACATGTATACGTATGTTTATTAGTACGAAAGAATATCAGAATATCGACATAAATCAACATTTCAAACCACAAACTGACAATTAGTTGAGTTTATTTAACACACAATCAATTAATCAAACTTTACAGCAGACAATATTATGGTTATATACTCAGAGTTGACACATGTGTGTCGGGTTGTCAGATATTGCACTCCTTGCACACAATGGCGTTTCAGTTCGTCACAGAAGATATGTACAAACCAGTTGTCCTTTGATCGGATCAACTGAGCCGTGTCTGCCATCATCACTGTTGTAATCAACATTGTCATCATCAGTGTCATCTTCATTGTCATCACATCGTTTTCATTGCCATACAGGGCCGTCCAGGTTTTGAGATTCCTGTCTGTTATTGGGTGAGGTTGACACACATGCTTAGAAACACTTTCTGTGCACAATGGATGGGCCGGACTCGTCGTACTCCTGCTTGCTGATCCACATCTGCTGGAAGGTGGACAGAGAGGCAATGATGGAGCCACCGATCCAGACGGAGTATTTCCTCTCTGGGGGAGCGATGATCTTGATCTTCATTGTTCTTGTGGAACCATTGTAGAGTCAACCATCATTACTATTGTCATCACCATTGTCATCACCATTGTCATATCTATTGCTGTCACAATATCATTTCCAGTGTCATACCTGTGAAGATCAGGGTTAGTATAGGTTTTTTAAGCAACCCAAGCTTATGATAAGAGGCGACTATGCTTGTCATAAGAGGCGACAAATGTAATCGGGTGGTCAGGCTAGCTGACTTGGTTGATGCATGTCATCGTATCCCAGTTGCGTGGAGTGATGTCCATAATATCAATCACTGGATTGTCTGGTCCAGACTCTATTATTTACAGACCGCTGTCATGTAGCGGTAATGTTGCTGAGAGTGGCGTTAAACAACACTTCCTGCGCATAATGGATGGGCCAGACTCGACGCTTTTAATATAAAATATATCAATAACAAGATAATATTTTTGCACAACATGTCATGGCACCACCAAGAAGGCATACACATATAACGGTTTTATGTAATTGAATAAGCAAGCATTGACGTGATGTTTGAAATTCCAACTATTGCTCTGGAATAAAATATTGAATCAGTCTGATTAAAATACGTGACATTAATAGAAGATTGATTCAAAAAGTCAAATATTAGAAGCACTTCCTGTGCACAATGGATGGGCCAGCCTCATTGTACTCCTGCTTGCTGATCCACATCTGCTGGAAGGTGGACAGAGAGGCAATGATGGAGCCACCGATCCAGACGGAGTATTTCCTCTCTGGGGGAGCGATGATCTTGATCTTCATTGTGCTTGGGGCAAGGGATGTGATCTCCTTCTGCATTCTGTCGGCGATACCAGGGAACATGGTGGTACCTCCTGAGAGAACAATGTTGGCGTACAAGTTATTACGAATGTCAATGTCACACTTCATGATGCAGTTGAATGTGTTTTCGTGGATACCAGCAGATTCCATTCCCAAGAAGGATGGCTGGAAGAGGGCCTCTGGACAACGGAACCTCTCGTTACCAATGGTGATGATTTGACCGTCGGGCAACTCGTAGCTCTTCTCCAGGGACGAGGAAGAGGCAGCAGTAACCATTTCCTGTTCGAAGTCAAGGGCGATGTAGGCCAATTTATCTTTGATAGTCTCTGACGATTTCCCTCTCAGCAGTGGTGACAAAGGAGTAACCACGCTCAGTGAGGATCTTCATGAGGTAATCAGTCAGGTCACGGCCAGCAAGATCCAATCTCATGATGGCGTGGGGAAGAGCATAACCTTCATAGATGGGGACAGTGTGGGTGACACCATCACCAGAGTCCAAAACAATACCCGTGGTACGACCAGAAGCGTACAGGGACAGAACAGCCTGGATGGCCACATACATAGCTGGAGAGTTGAAGGTCTCGAACATGATCTGGGTCATCTTTTCACGGTTGGCCTTGGGGTTGAGGGGAGCCTCTGTCAGGAGGACGCGGTGCTCCTCTGGTGCAACGCGGAGCTCGTTGTAGAAGGTGTGATGCCAGATCTTCTCCATGTCGTCCCAGTTGGTGATGATTCCGTGCTTAATGGGGTATTTGAGGGTGAGAATACCTCTCTTGGACTGAGCTTCGTCACCGACGTAGCTGTCTTTCTTACCCATACCGACCATCACACCCTGAAACGTGAAATATCATTATGCCTGATATTATCTTTTGTGTGACATTTACACAACTTTGATTTTGTACAAATCAAACATAGCATATTCAGAAACATGTCAGAAACAGAAGTTAACTGGCACCCCTATATGTTCGAAGGTAAATCACTTGGTACAGATTTAGTTCAAGTGATATCCCAATACTTCACCGCGTCTTATAGTTTGAGGTGTATAAGTTTCTCATATAAAGATACTCGAGGGTATGCACCACCAATAAGACGTAAGCCTGATCCTAAACTGCCGACAAAAAGAAAATATACACCAATATTTGATAGTGGCTGAATATGGTTACTCGATGATGATGTATTTGATACGGGTATCATTGGCGATATTACAGGTATCATATTAATGAGTATCACACAACGGATGACGTGCACATGACGTCTCAAGGAACATTGGGGACGCAGTTTCACAGTACATAGTCATGAGCAGGCTGAAGGTGAGGTGAAATAGGGTTTAACGTCGAGTCCAAGACGTGCATGCTCGTGCGTGTGTGGCTGCTTGTACTGGTCTGGACTGATGCCGGTTTTATGATGCTAGCCCACTGAGATACCATGGTCTCAGTTTAACGTGAATACCAAACTCAGACACAGAATACTCCGAGCCGACCAGTTCTTGTTTAAACCCCTTAATGTCGAACGCCAGGCAGGGTCACAACAAGTACCATCTTTTAACGTCTTTTAGTATGAAGCGGCGGGGGTTCGATCCCTGACCTTCCGCCCTCAAGGCGGACGCTCTACCACTAGGCCACAGAGGCGGTCTTGAGCAGAGTGAAGCAGGTACTGTCATGGTCAGTTTGAGTTGGTTCACAAATACCAGACATTCTCACCACGAACACAATGCACGCCTAGCCTCCGTCTCATCGTCAGCCGCCAGATGGCGTCATTTCGAATCCGTTGCCACTCATATCTTCCGGATGTTTGCGGTTCGGTGGTGGATAAGGACGCCTCCTCATCTGACGATCCAAATCATCCCACAAGTGTCCAATGGGGCTAAGTGTGACGTTGTGCGCAGTCCTGGACGACCTTTGCAGCTTGCGGGCTAGCGTTGTCGTGCTGTTAACGCGTTCCATGTTGAAGAACGTCTTCCTGTAGATCTGACCCCTGAGATTGCCAGGAAAATGACAAGTCCCTTCTGCCAAAATTCCTTCCGACACCACCCCCCTCCGCCAACATATGGACGCACTTGGATGCATCCTGGCGCCAATCGTTCCCCCTCCGACTATAAACCTCAACACGACCATCATTATGGAATAAGGAGAATCTGCTTTCGTCAAGGATCTGCAAGCTTTGCTCAGTGACGTCTTTGACGTTGATGTTCATGGGTCAAAACATGGTTTTGGCGATGTTTCACTGCTGCATGCGCATCGTCCAAACCAGCTTTTGTGTTTTGAACCTTAAGTTTGCAGTGTTTCGGTGGACTGTTTTCAGCCTAGTAACGCTTTGACAATGTTTATAATATTTTTAATAATTTCCAGTGTGTACTTTCTTTTGCCTGGCAGTTTAGTAATCATAATGTTGTACGGTGGGATTCTATCTCCCCTACTTCCCTGAACTGTTGACTAAAGTCATTACACGATTTATCCGTCAACAGAATACATGTATGTGTTACCTGATGTCTTGGACGTCCGACGATGGAGGGGAAGACCGACCTCGAAGCGTCGTCACCAGCGAAACCGGCCTTGCACATACCGGACCCGTTGTCAACAACCAAGGCAGCAACATCATCATCCATGGCTGTTGAGGTGTAGTACGTGTTCAGAGAGGTGAGATTTGGACTGTTGAATCTTGGGAAGCAGTGCAACTCAATACTCTGACAACGCATCTGGTCGACCTGCCTATATACTCCTGTGAAATAAAACTCCATATATGGTCGTGGCAGGAATTTAGTTTGTGGAATATGCCCATATATAGACAATCTCAGAGCCACAGACATGGGAGATATTTTCGTCATCTAGCTAGTCAATGTGGGGCACTCGGGCACGACAGCCAATGAGTCGGGCGGCAGCTGCTGCCGTTGAGGACAGGCTATGCAGTTAGGTCCGTCATGCAGTTAGGTCCGTCATGCAGTTAGGTCCGTCATGCAGTTAGGTCCGTCATGTGCTGATTTAGTTTTACTTTATGGCTGGGGCGTTTTCCCTGTTCTTGAAAAATGGTGCTGGTAACCATGACAACATGGATGTAAATTTTGACACTAGGCCATATAAGAAATAAATAAAAAGATTAATGTGTTGTAGAAAAGACTTTGTACTTGAATTAGTTCAATAGTTGAAATGTACTTGTCCTCAAAAGTGAGTGAGTGAGTATGGTTTTACCAATATCCTGCAATATCACGGCGGGGGGCACCAGAAATGAGCTTCACACATTGTGCCTATGTGGGGAATCGAACCCTATCGCCCATGTCCTCATCAGGAAGGAGGATGAGGTGAGGTGAAATTGGGTTTAACGCCACATTCAAGATTGAACCTCGACTTTCCGCAGACGTTCTACCGACTAGCTACGTTGGCGATCCCATAAGAAAGAAGGTTTTTTGAGTACGTTAAATATGTGAAGAGTATGTATTTTATTATTTTTTAAGAATTATGAGTTGATATTTTGAATTATGTATTGGATTATTAATTAGTTAATGACGATGATATGGTCGTGACTGGAATATCAGACAAAACGGCGTTCATTAACATGCATTGTGATTCATCCCGCCTTGGTGTTGTTGTTGCTTATACACCTCCTCTCCGCCACCCTGCCTGCCTTCTCTCCGCCGCCCTGCCTGCCTTCTCTCCGCCATCCCGCCTGCCTTCTCTCAGCCACCCTGCCTGCCTCCTCTCCGCCATCCTGCCTGCCTTCTCTCAGCCACCCTGCCTGCCTCCTCTCCGCCACCCTGCCTGCCTTCTCTCCGCCACCCTGCCTGCCTTCTCTCCGCCACCCTGCCTGCCTCCTCTCCGCCACCCTGCCTGCCTTCTCTCCGCCACCCTGCCTGCCTTCTCTCAGCCACCCTGCCTGCCTCCTCTCCGCCACCCTGCCTGCCTTCTCTCCGCCACCCTGCCTGCCTCCTCTCCGCCATCCTGCCTGCCTTCTCTCAGCCACCCTGCCTGCCTCCTCTTCGCCATCCTGCCTGCCTTCTCTCCGCCACCCTGCCTGCCTTCTCTCCGCCACCCTGCCTGCCTCCTCTCCGCCACCCTGCCTGCCTCCTCTCCGCCACCCTGTCCGCCTCCTCTCCGCCACCCTGCCTGCCTCCTCTCCGCCACCCTGCCTGCCTCCTCTCCGCCACCCTGTCCGCCTCCTCTCCGCCACCCTGCCTGCCTTCTCTCCGCCACCCTGCCTGCCTCCACTCCGCCACCCTGCCTGCCTCCTCTCCGCCACCCTGCCTGCCTTCTCTCCGCCAACCTGCCTGCCTTCTCTCAGCCAACCTGCCTGCCTTCTCTCAGCCACCCTGCCTGCCTTTTCTCCGCCAACCTGCCTGCCTTCTCTCCGCCAACCCGCCTGCCTTCTCTCCGCCACCCTGCCTGCCTCCTCTCCGCCACCCTGCCTGCCTTCTCTCCGCCACCCTGCCTGCCTCCTCTCCGCCACCCTGCCTGCCTCCTCTCAGCCACCCTGCCTGCCTTCTCTCCGCCAACCTGCCTGCCTTCTCTCCGCCAACAGTCCTGTCTTCTCTCAGCCAACCTGTCTGCCTTCTCTCCGCCAACCTGCCTGCCTTCTCTCGGCCACCCTGCCTGCCTCCTCTCAGCCAACCTGCCTGCCTTCTCTCAGCCAACCTCCCTGCCTTCTCTCAGCCAACCTGCCTGCCTCAAAAAGAGTACCCATGCTTGCCGTAAAAGACGACTATGTTTGTCGTAAGAGGCGACTAACGGGATCGGGTGGTCAGGCTTGCTGACTTGGTTGATGCATGTCATCGCATCCCAATTGCGTGGGTCGATGCATAGATTTCAATCACTGGATTGTCTAGTCCAGACTCGATTATTTACAGACCGTCGTCATATAGCTGGAATATTGCTGAGTGCGGCGTTACAACAAACAAACAAATCTAAAAGAGCATTCCATGACGCCAGCAGATGAGTCGTATCTTACGTAAAGACGGCTATAGGAAACACCGCGATGGAATATATATTTAGGAGATAACCCTACTGTGTGATATTCGAAGTCGCCTTTTCTCTTACCGTAATGTGGAACCGAGCATTTTGAATCCTCAGGACGCTTTAATAACGGTAGTCTTTCAGAACGTATATAATACATTTGTGTACATGTCAGCTTTCATGGAACAGGATGCAATAAATGTAATAAATATTTCTCAAGTGCAAAATTATTTACTTTAATTCTTGACTCGTTTAAACTAATGGTCATTAAATACAAAGCTTTACAAAATGAATTGGTGAAATAACCCTCCATAGATATACGTATAATTTCATCGCAACCTGTTGCATATTTGCACGGCTTTGACCAACATGGCGTGACAGAATGTAGAAATAGTGAAATAAACGCAAACTCGGAATAGCGAACCATCATTCACTTCGTCCCAACGATTTTATAAAATGAAACTTAAATAAAACGTATCATTTAAAGAATGCAATATATATATTCAATTATAAAAGCTGTTTGAAGCAGTCAAACAAATGTCAACATCCATTAGTTCCTTGAGGTGAATGTGCTCAGCTCTAGAACATAAACATCGGGATCTCCCAAGCCTCGTTCTAGCACGACACGGGGATTTCCCAAGCCTCGTTTTGGCATGACTCAGGGATTTCCCTTCTTTCACTTTAAAATAGCTGACTCATGTTTGTTTTCCTCCGTCAAATCGGTATTTGTTGACAGTATCAGCACTGACATTCTCACTAGACCTCACCTGTCGTGTCGGAATACACACTGAATGACGGTTAGATTTATGCATTTTTCAGAGCACATGACTTGTAACGGGATGAAAAACGTGTTAGTAGCGGGACGAGCAACGTCCCCTTTTCCGACCTATTGTAGTGCCCGGATGAGGGTAGGCGGGTGTGAACACCGCGAAGGTGTCGCCTGAACGCAGTACTACGGGATTAAGTATACAACAGTGTTTGGGTGGGATAGGTATCGAGAAGAAGTAGAGCGAGACAGACCGGGTCAGAGTTCGAAGAGCATGAGTAATATACACTTATAACTTGCGACACATGCAGCACCGGCGCTGATATCGAACCCAAGCATAGAGGTTGGGGCATATGTTTATCTCCATATAAGGCAGTGCGTGTCCATTTATGGTGATCTGGAAGCACGTGTTTATATTGTTTCCAGATATGGTCCTATTTCCATTTTCAGGCAGAGTATATAAGGTCAACATCGTCCGGAGTTTCTGTACAGGTGAATTTTTTCGTGACAGTCCACACCTGAAGAATATATCAACATGTCGAAGGCGTCGGGAGCTCATGTGATCATTGATATCGGCACCTACCAGACCCGAGCCGGTCTAGCTAACGACTCAGCCCCCCGTGTCGTCCAGCCGACCCTTGTGGGACGAGGGGTGGGAGAGGTAATACTGACACTTTTCTTTGTCTATCAGATAACTTAGTAGGTAGTATATTTAACGTGTGGACCTCAAGATACCGCGGATCTATGATAAATCTGACGTGTATCTCCGGGGTATAAGGGAAACGGTGGAGGGATACAGCTCGCACATGATGAAGCAACGCGCATTCTATCGCGTGTAGCTCCTAAGGTATCGACAGTCCATCTCTCCACCTCGTCGAGAGGCCCCGAACCAGTGAATGGCTTGTCTTGCGCCTCCCGCTACCCCGCACTGCCGAGAGCGCTCGAGATCTCCTCACTTCCTGGTTTGGTCGGATAGAAGAAGGGAGGTGGGGTCGGTGATGCTAAATATAACCCGGCAGCGTGAGAAGGCTGTATCCAACGTGCACGCGCGCGTCCCATGTGCAGCAACCCATCCCTTCTCTCCCCCGGCTCCGTGTCGGCTAGCGTTACAGGCGTCGCCCACATGACCCCCCTTCCCTCCCCCTAGTTAGGCCAGCGCAGCTGAGAGGTAGACTAGGCTCTGTGTGCACGTGTCTATACTGTTAAGTTACCAAAGCGGATGCGCAATCCTATATTAGGACTAGTCGTGGGTCGGTTTAAATGATTACAACCGTTGATGGATAACGATCTTTGAAATCGAAATCTGACCCAGTTGAAGGAATGCGCGTCTGACATGGCAGCATGTCGTAGGCTTATCATTCAAGCAGGAAAAAAACATGTTATTTGAGTAAATACCGTATGTTCTTTATATTAAAATGAAAATATAGACTAAATACATTCAGGGTAAATTGTTTTAGTGAGGAAATATGTTGTCTAGGACCTTTTCAACATCAATGAATTGTTACATCTGGAGGTCATGATCAAGCTGGATAATTGTTATCTTTGGTAACATGCTTAGGTGATTAACTCCTGGAGACAAGGAATTCTCTTTGACACACGCATGCAATCCTTATTGCTACATTGTGTATTCGTGTGTAGAGGGTGACGTCTGTACGTTTCGGGGGGGAGGGCGGGGCTGCTCCTGATACCCATCAAACACCCCCACCCCCCGGTCACTATGTCACATGTGTAGAGATAGTTTCATTGGCCATTCCGTGCATGTACAATGGATATATTCCAGTAATACCCACGTGCAACATGCACACGACAGACGCTCTGTGAAACCTACTGGTGTCATTCCTCGCGTTTATTGGGGTCTGAGCTCAGTGAGGCTTGGGGTGAACTTCAGTGAGACGGGGTTGAACTTCAGTGAGACGGGGTTGAACTTCAGTGAGACGGGGGTGAACTTCAGTGAGACGGGGGTGAACTTCAGTGAGACGGGGGTGGAGCGCAATGAGATGGGAGGGGGTAGGGGGAGAAGCGTCGGTCTTTGTTCCCCTCGGGGAATACCGCGAACAGCTGGGAATCAGTTCTGCCGTGACAGACATTCCGATGAGGACTTAGCGTTTAGCCACCCCCACCACACCCCTCCCCCTCCCCCTCTCCCTCTCCCTCTCACTGCCGCGCTGCGCCATATAGGACAAAGGGCGACAGATCGACATCCCCTACGTTCATGGTTTAGTTTAATTGTTCATGTAATATTTCTCCATTATGAGTCATAGTCCACTTCCCGTGTCCGACAGGGTGTCCAGTCGACTTCGGCTACAGCTACATCACGTAACGCCAGCTTTTGTAGGAGCTGCAGAAAAGATAATTTTTGAATAATAAATGTCAACAGTCTTTGTTGAGCTTTAGCACTACAAACGGTATGAAATAATGACTTTTTCCTTGTATTAGGAAATTATGTATGAATTAAGGCGACACTCGTTGTTGTCTCCTCTGTACATGTGTTTTTCACGTGACTGCTATATATCACATGTGTTACATGTCATGATGTCCAACATTGACAAAACAATTTACAGAACACTTCCTTGTTCTCTCTGCAGAGAGGGCATAACCATGGATTTTACGCCGCTTCATAAACTAATTCACTGACGTAAAGGCATTGCAGGTGTCTATTTCAGCCCTGGAATCTATGTTGTGCATCGAATCCAGGTCAGCTGTGTGATGTTGACAGCCTTGTCTCAGGGCTACACTACACAGCATGTAGAGTATGCGAATGGGACATCGCCTGCAACATGGCGGACATTGGTTATTTGACTGACACATAATTCGTGTTCATAATTATGAAATACATAATTTGGACAAAGTTGGGTGTTTTTTTAAGTTAAACTCCATCATTCGATCCTTGGTTGATATGCTAGTAGTACACGGACTAAATGACAACCAACAAGATATCCAACGCCAGTGTCATATGGGCTGGATAAAGAAAACAAACGATTCCTCTTGGGGGCAAAGGTCGTTTAATAATGACAATTTTTTAATCGAAAACATAAAACTTCAGATCAAACAGACTGAGAAAAAAATCAACAAATTTCTGAACAACATGTAGTTTGCATGTTACGTTTGGCGATTGTGACGTTTCCCTTGCAGCAATAAAAAAACAAATACCGCTTACAGCATTATCAGCAATATGACATTCGGGGTTGTCTCCCCATAACTGTTAAAATATATGGACACTAAAACAGATGTCATTGCATTGCCGTTTAAATTAAAATAAACTAGGCTTTATTTCTTACAAATTAAACTCCGGAACTACCAGAACTGGACAGGGTAGATCTGTGTTTGTTTTTATGTTGATATACATATATATACACGCATGTGTGCACGTGTGTTTTTATCTCAACCGAATATTCTGTGTTACAAATGGTTACCACGGACTGTTTTGGTATTGAAAGTATTGCTATTGTCATTACAGAACAAGAACGTGACCTATGTGGGTTCAGCAGCCAGGGCCAGCCGTGAGGGCATAGTGCTGAGTCAACCCGTCCGCGAGGGAGAGATCCGAGACTGGGACGATGTGGAGGCCATCTTGAGGGATGTCCTGGTGGACAAGCTGGGCGTTGAGACACAGGACCGCAACGTGCTGCTCATTGCCTCGCCGTCCCTGGACCCCCAGGCCAAAGAGAAGATGGCGCAGATCATGTTTGAGAAGTTCCAGGTCGCTGGTCTGTTTGTTGCCAATAGTGGTGTTCTCAGTCTGTACGCCGCGGGGAGGCTGGCGGGTGTGGTGTTGGAGGCAGGAGACGGCGTCATCCATGCCGTCCCTGTGCATGAGGGCTTCGCGCTGCCCAAGGCTGTCACACGGTGGGCGTTTGGTGGCAGTGGACAGAGCGAGTTCCTCTGCAAACAGCTCTCTGAGAAGGGCTACAATTTGTCCGATAATCCAGAAGCAGTACGGGAGATCAAAGAGAGTTTGTGCTATGTGGCTAAAAGCTATGATCTGGAGATGGCCAAAGCATCAGATACATCCTTCCAGAAGACATTCAAGCTCCCAGACGGGAAGGTCGTCACCCTTGGTAGCGAGATGGTCAAGACGTCAGAGATCCTCTTTACTCCTTCAGTTGGAGGTCTGTCAACTTCTGGGGTCGTCGCCCTCTTGAATGAGGCCATTGAAAAGTGCACTGCTGAACAACAGAAGGTCATGTATGGCAACATCGTCCTTGCGGGAGGCCCTACTCTCGCCACTGGGTTCGTGGAACGGATGAAGAAGGAGGTGAAGACTAGGGCTGCCTATGCCAACGTTGTTGCTTCGGAACACCGAGAACACGCAGCCTTTATTGGAGGCAGCACCCTGGCCGCTCTGGACGACTTCCAGTCCATGTGGGTCACGGCGGCCGAGTACAAACAGAAGGGAGCCGGAGTCATCCACGACAAATGCAAGTGAACAGAACTGGTCGGGAGGTGATTGACCAGTACATCTTGAGATGATTGACCAGTACATCTTGAGATGATTGACCAGTACATCTTGAGATGATTGACCAGAACATCTTGAGATGATTGACCGGTACATCTTGAGATGATTGACCAGTACGTCGTGATTCGTGTGCTTTACACACAGCAGAATCAGTGCAACAGACTGAAATAGGTTTCCTCTGTTATGTCTAATGGGACATCCCACGCTGACTGAACACAAACTTGATCCAAAGTGACAATGAAAGGCTTCTTTCTAAAATTGAAGTGCAGTGCAAGTTATGTTATGTTTCAAGAGATTTTGTCAAGGGCTATTTTCATACAAATATTTTGTACATATTAATTTTAAAAGTGTAAGCGATATGTTGAAGTATGTGAACATATTTAAGAAGTTCATGAAAGTGAACCACAATGAACGCTGTTTGTCTCGTTGTTTTGTCTCGCTGTGTTAATGTTTATGTGTATAGTTTGGGTTAATAAATGGCTCAATGTTCAAGATATGCACGGCATGTTGGTTATTGTTTGCAGTCACGTCATGGAACATGTAAATTATTTATTCCCCTTTCATGGATAATTTAAAGTGAATTGACCCAATGTGTGTGTCCCCAATGTATGTCTGTCTATACAGATATTCTATGATATGTACCCGCGTCTGCATCTTAACGTATATTAAAATAAAAATACCCGTTCCTTCTGGACTATGTACTAACAACTACTTTTGAGGGATTATATCTCTCGAAAGATTGTTTGAGGGATTATGTTTGATTAACTATGTACGGTTTGAGGTAATATATCTCACTAAGTATTGTTTGAGGTACTGTACCTTACTATATATTGTTTGAATGGATGAGGGGAGAAGGGGGGTGGGGGGAGGGTAGCCTGGTGGTTAAAGCGTTCGCTCGTCACGCTGATGACCCGGGTTCGACTCCCTACATGAGTACTATGTGTGAAGCCCATTTCTGGTGTCCCCCGCCCAGATATTGCTGGAATATTGCTAAAAGGGGCGTAAAACCATACTCACTCACTCACTCACTCACTCACTCACTCACTCACTCACTCACTCACTCACTCACTCACTCACTCACTCACTCACTCACTCACTCACTCACTCACTCACCCACCCACCAACCCACCCACCCACTCACTTACTCACTTACTCACTCACTAAAGGCACTATGTTATACAAAGGATGACTTGATCCTTCGTGAAAGCTTGAAAAAATAATAATTATGATTCAGATCGTTGAAAACAAATTGTCAGCCACAAAAGTTTAAAAACATCTCCAAATAAAATACACCCACTCATCCCACATGGTGGTATTTGTATCAAGATTATTCCAGCAACAGCCACAACACCAGATATCTTTTATTCAACAGTCTGAAGCCCCATTGAGGGATATCTTACTCAATATTGTTTGAACACATGGGAAAATGTAGGACTAAACACATGGCAAATCTAGGCTTTAAGAAACCGCACGTGTAGGCCATGATGCACATCAAATGTATCCTTGAGCTCTTGGCGGTCGTGTGAAAACACGTTGAAATACCATTGGAAAGGACTACTACTTAACACGGGTTTAGTTGATAACTTGCACTACATCGTTTCTGGAAGAGTTGTCAGGAAAGTAGTTGTGACGTGATCTTTGTTCACCATTGTGTGGTGTGGCTGGTACAAGAGGAATCCCGCTTCAGTACATTCATCCGGTGATGTCGCATTCCAACGTGGATGATGGCGTTAGTGAAGCGCCGACAGTTCATTATTACACGATAAACAATACATTGTGCAGACAGTACGAAAAAACACCTGTGTGTGACAGCCACAAATAATGGCCTGATTTAGGACAGGAACAACAGATCTCCCTATCCGAGCAGCTTGTGTACCAACTTCTAGCAATATTCCAGCAGCAGTATTCCAGCAGCAATATTCCAGCAATAGTATTCTAGCAGCAGTATTCCAGCAGTAGTTTTCCAGCAGCTGTATTCCTGCAATATTCCAGCAGCTGTATTCCTGCAATATTCCAGCAGCAGTATTCCAGCAATATTTCAGCATTAGTATTCCAGCAATATTCCAGCAGCAGTATTCCAGCAGCAATATTCCAGCAGCAGTATTCCAGCAGTAATATTCTAGCAGTAGTATTCTAGCAGTTGTATTCCAGCAGCTGTATTCCAGCAATATTCCATAAGCAGTATTCCAGCAGTAATATTCCATGAGCAGTATTCAAGCAGCAATATTCCAGCAACAGTTGTCCAGCAGCAATATTCCATGAGCAGTATTCCAGCAGTAATATTCCAGCAACAGTAGTCCAGCAGCAATATTCCAGCAACAGTAGTCCAGCAGCAATATTCCATAAGCAGTATTCCAGCAGCAATATTCCAGCAACAGTAGTCCAGCAGTATCCCTGGAACAGCATTTCAGCAGCAGCATTCCAGCTTCAATGTTCCATCAGCAGTATTCCAGCATCACTATTCAAAGAATAATCCAACAGCAGTATTCCAGCAATAATCCAGCTTATCAAACATATTTGCTTTTATAAAAGTTTGTAGCCGAAAATGCAGAAAAAGAAAATGTAGAAATTGCACTGCGCTGAGACTTTTGGTCGTCTTTGACGTTAAGTGTTCGTTACATTGACATTGATCTACGTGTAGGTTGGCCAGGGCGTTAGAGGCTACGTGATTCGCTGACCAGAGTTGCGCCCCTTAGTCGTACCAGGATCATATGATCAGAGATCCGAATGCACGAACCTTACTCGTGCTTGTGGTATTCACAAAAGTAATACACATCACTTTGGGCTAACAGGAGGGCAGGACATGCGTATCCTTTTCGCGAACACCCGGTGGCATCGAGGATAATGTTAAAACTCCTCTGGTTTTTACACTTTTATATTTGATATCAACAGTCACTCGAGAGAGATTCTCCATATGTGCTGAATATAGTTGATAAGATTGTGATAAAAAAAAATCCTGAAGCCAAGGCGTCGTTTTCAAAACAGTAAGCGTTTTTTTAACGTTTTCATCATTCTTAGAATCCTAGCTGTAGTGAGTGAGTGAGTTGGGTTTAACGCCGCTTTTAACATTATTCCAGTTATATCACGGTGTGTCAGCTTAATGTGGGAGGAAAGCCTGAAGTGATGCAGGTCTCAGACGTTTACCACTTCGGTGAAACCCACGAGCACGGGTATGGTGCCGACAAACCTAGAAACATAATTGGGGCGTCCTAGCTGTAACATACAACACCATGTCATACTCTGATCCACTGTACCTTGTGAATCTAGGGCACCAGCTGAGGAAGTAAGTTTTTGTAATATATTTATAAGCTGCCAGTTTGTTTTGGGTTTTTTTTGTTCGCAGATCATTTAATCAAGTTAAATCGGTCTTCCTCTACCATAACCTCAGAGTCGTACTATTCTTCACCTAAATCCCTGTAAGTGCCTGAAGCGTGCGTCGTCTATTCCTCATAGGATTATAGCGCTACACACTGTCATGTTGTTTCGGTCGAATCATCGACCAGTGTAGATCGATAGCCACGCCCCCTAATCGACTGCATACTATATACCATAAAAGGTAGCATGAGCCAAATACAAGCATGTATGACAGGTTATAAATACTCCACTGTACTTATGCCCTAACTTGGCGTCAGGTCAAGGTACAAACCGCACTAGTACTGGTCTGCACAGTGACGGTATGTATGAATGTGTGCAGGTATATATGTCTCCACGCTGGCTTGTGGATCTATTTATAGAGTACAACGCGAAGCTACGTGTACAACAGTGTGACAAGCATGTCCCATGACTTTGCACAATTCAATGTCGTGTGTGCGTGTGTCTGTCTGTGTATGGCTGCTTGTACTAGGTCGGGACCATTGCGATTTTATAGTGCTTAACTACTGGGATACCATGCCGCAATTTAGTACCTCACTCAGACACAGTAATCCCCCAGACACTACTCGATATGTGAAGTCAAACACTGCTCGATGTGAAGTCAGACACTACTCGATGTGAAGTCAAACACTGCTCGATGTGAAGTCAGACACTACTCGATGTGAAGTCAAACACTGCTCGATGTGAAGTCAGACACTACTCGATGTGAAGTAAGACACTGCTCGATGTGAAGTCAGACACTGCGCAATGTGAAGTCAGACACTACTCGATGTGAAGTCAGACACTACTCGATGTGAAGTCAGACACTGCGCAATGTGAAGTCAGACAATGCCTATACTGCCCAATGTTAAGTCAGATCCTGTATTTAATATTCCACAAACCCAGTACGCGACTTCGTATAACATCTATTCAAAGCATGCACAGTGTGTAATGGGCGTAAGGATATGTATGTTTGGTAATGACCTATATTTCTTTCATATTTGACGTAAGGCGAGGATAAAAGGGGTTTAACGTTGCTTTCAAGTTTTATCCCCGACCGCCAGGCATGGTAACAACAAGTGTCTTTTAACATCTTTTAGTATGAAGTGACCAGGGGATCGAACCATCGACCCTTTGCCCTCCGGGCAGACCTCTACCCACTAGACAATGGGTATCACATAATGACAGCTGTCTGTATCAGATATGATTGCAACATATCAACAGAAAAATGCATCAGATCCTGTTTATCTGTTGAATGTGAGGTTGGGTGAAATTGGGTTTAACGTCGTGTCCAAGATTATTCCACTTATATATCGACGTGACGTGCATGTACTTGTGTGTGTGTGTGTGGCTGCTTGTACTAGTCCTGGATGATGCCGATTTATAGTACCGATGCCGATATATATCTCACTGAGATTCCATGCCGCATGAATATCCCACTCTGACACAGTATACTGACTCCGAGCCAACCAGTCCTTGTTTTAGCCCCTTAATGCCGAGCGCCAGCCTGGGTAACAACAAGTACCATCTTTAAACGTCTTTTGGTATGACACGGCCGGGGATCGAACTCTGGACCTTCCGCTCTCCAGGCGGACGCCCTGCCACTAGACCACGGAGGCGGTCTTTATCGGTTGTAATTACCTTATGTATACTTAATATATACTCCTGGATATCATATACGCACCCGTTAAATAAACGTTGTGATTGAGTATGGTTTTACAACACTATATTCTATATTGACGGGATTATACACCCGGACAACCGTACCTCCCCATTATGATATGACCCCTTCAAGCAGAAAACAGGCAACGCCACAAAACAAAACCAAGTAACAAATTGAGAATCTCACCAGAGTGTCTTTACATATCAAATATATCAACAAAAGTTTTGAACTTATATCAACGAGTGTTGATATATTTGATATCAAAAGATACGAGGATGAGATTTTATTTATCATCCATTCTTCCAACTTTTGTAGTCTGTAAACAGTAATAACCAGTGTTAACCAGTAACCAGTAAATGAAAAATGTACAAGTTACCAGCTTCAGTGTCAGAGATATAGAGGATATTTCATGTGTCGAGTGAAATATCATGTTTCTCTCATCGAGTGACAGGGGGAAAGGAGATATTTTCACGAGTGGCGGAAAATTAAACTATTGCATTACAAATGTCAAACCTTGAAACGTAAATTCTCCCTACCAAACACACAGGGACGGTTCACCACCCTTTGTATTTGCGACTTAAAAAGAAGTGTTTGCACAATCTTAAAAAATATGAACATAAGTATCCAAAAATATTTAGGGTCACGATAATTCTTTATCATACATTTCGATATGATTATATACAAAATCAACTTCAACAAAAAATATTCCTGACAACTAGGAGACCGCTGAGAGAAGCGAAAGAATACACGCCGGTCAAGTAATCAAAAAAGGCGCTTTGCGAAACGAACAGTCTCGATTGACGAGTTAAATGAGAGATATAAAGTTTATAACAAAACATTTTCGAGAGAAGAATGAATGGCAAAAGCGATATTAACTCCATAAATGACTATCCGTCATGATTTTGCCTTGTCAATGTAGAACTAACGTAAAAAGAACGTCAACATTTTTTGTACGGGCTAGACACATACGATAAAGGAAGACAATTAAAGGGGAAGTAACTCTTGTATGACAATAGTTCCGTTAAAGTGTTATGTTCACTGCAATGAAAATATCACTTTTCTCAACTTCAGAAAACTCAGTCTTTCACACTGAAGTATGTAGTAAATGTAATGTGTTTTGATAATGTCTGATGACGTCACAATGACGTCCAAAGCACTGTGATGCAATTTCCATGTAGCGATATCTCCAATGTGATATTGTTGGAACTCACCCAGGCCATATTTCCTGAGGAAACCAGTTTTGTTATGATATTAATATTCTCTTGCAATCTTGTCATGACAATAACTGATAGTTTGTCAAATGTAACAACCATTACTAAATCATAACATCAAATTCTTTGGAATTGTTATGCCAATGTCGAAGACGAAAGTGTGATCTTTCAATGCATGTTTAATACCATGCATCATCATGTTAATGTTCAGTATTTCTAGGTTGATATTCAGTTTGCTCGTGTTTAAAAAAATCAAAAGCCACTTTTGGTGTGGGGACCTAAGGGTCATAAAGAATGTTGAGATGGGTACTCAAGGGAATAATTGAGAGAGTTCTTTAACGTCGATCTACGCGGGCAGTAGATGTTTTCTACTTTGCTGACTGGTCTGGTGTTGACTGGCCAAGGGTATGGAACTAACAGAACCTAACTCGTAACCAGAGGGCCACTTGTAGCCCCGGTTATTACCATATATAACATAGCTAAGCGATGAATAGCATAAAGCAATGATGAATAAAGCGTGGTTTATTTCACGATAAAACACCGTCTATCATGACGTCATTTCTGGAGATTCGAATATGAGCTCGCAATTTCATGACGTCATATATTGGACGACGACATTTTGTTCATTCATGTCCTTGTCATGAGCAGCCAACTTTTGCCCTGGAATAGCAAATTGAGACAGTCTGGTTACAATACGTCACATAAATAGTCCATTGATTCAAATAGTCAAAGTTTAGAAGCACTTCCTGTGCACAATGGATGGGCCGGACTCATCGTACTCCTGCTTGCTGATCCACATCTGCTGGAAGGTGGACAGAGAGGCAAGGATGGAGCCACCGATCCAGACGGAGTATTTCCTCTCGGGGGGAGCTATGATCTTGATCTTCATTGTGCTTGGGGCAAGAGCTGTGATCTCCTTTTGCATTCTGTCCGCGATACCAGGGAACATTGTAGAACCCCCTGAGAGAACAGTGTTGGCGTACAAGTCCTTACGGATATCAACATCGCACTTCATGATGGAGTTGTATGTTGTCTCATGGATGCCGGTAGACTCCATTCCGAGGAACGCTGGTTGAAACAAGGCCTCTGGACAGCGGAACCTCTCGTTACCAATGGTGATGACTTGACCATCAGGCAGCTCATAGCTCTTCTCCAGGGAGGACGAAGAGGCAGCAGTCGTCATCTCTTGCTCGAAGTCAAGGGCGATGTAGGACAATTTCTCCTTCACGTCTCGGACAATTTCTCTCTCGGCAGTGGTGGTGAAAGAGTAACCACGCTCAGTGAGGATCTTCATCATGTAGTCTGTGAGATCACGACCAGCCAGGTCCAATCTCATGATGGCGTGGGGAAGGGCGTAACCTTCATAGATGGGGACACAGTGCGAGACACCATCACCAGAGTCCATAACAATTCCCGTGGTACGACCAGAAGCATATAACGAGAGAACAGCTTGTATAGACACATACATGGCTGGAGAGTTGAAGGTCTCGAACATAATCTGGGTCATTTTTTCACGGTTGGCCTTGGGGTTGAGGGGAGCCTCTGTCAGGAGGACGGGGTGCTCCTCCGGAGCCACTCGGAGCTCGTTGTAGAAGGTGTGATGCCAGATCTTCTCCATGTCGTCCCAATTATTTACAATGCCGTGCTCAATGGGGTACTTGAGGGTGAGTATGCCTCTCTTAGACTGAGCCTCGTCACCGACGTAGCTGTCTTTCTGACCCATACCGACCATCACACCCTGACAAACAAAAGATATCAATCAAATATTGCAGAAAAGAAAATGTCAATTTATGCATATTTGTATATGGATCTCGTTAATTAAACCCCAAATTGCCAAGCCTCAAAACGTAGGAAACTCCTGTAGAAGCTGGGTTGAAGGGTCTCACGCGATCAAACGTCTACCGTAACATATTTCAGTTGCTGCTCTCCATCACCTTGACTCGTCTCTACTGTCCTTAGTTGCTAGCAAACGACAACGGTATGAGACTGGGCACATCCTCTGGACCAATTACGAAACAAACATGTGCGTCATTGCCGGTGATGCCATATGTGTATTACCTGGTACTTTTTGAGCTTTAACATTAGATTTAGGTTAGATGAGATTGCATGTCCTCTTGCGAAGAGGCATTTATTACTTGTTATATGGTTCAAGGAAGAAAAATACACGCCAATTTATACATAGTATTGCTAAATAAAAACTTATGTGCAAACAAAAGTCAGCGAATCTATCCTAAATCATGTTGCAGAAATATAACATTAATGTTATCATCCATTGTCATCACTCATCACGACGATGCAATTTTACCTGATGTCGAGGACGGCCGACGATTGAGGGGAAGACAGCTCTGGGAGCATCGTCACCGGCGAAACCGGCTTTGCACATGCCGGAGCCGTTGTCAATAACCAATGCAGCAACATCATCATCCATGGTTAGTGTTAAGTAGTGATATGAAAATCAAATAAAAAAGGCTGGTGATATGTTACTCCCCTGTCGTACGCCACTGCACTGAAACAAGTAGTCACCGTGGGTCTTAAATAGGAGTCACAGGGTGTCTTAAATAGGCCACCAAGCACCTTGTCTTCACTCTCAATGTCCATATATGGTAACAATATGAGTCTATATTCCCTATAAGTCCTTGAATCAACATTGGTATATCCATGTATAGCTGTTGGCGTGGAGGGAGAGACTGCGAGGGACCAGATAAGTGCGTTGTGCCGGTGCTGTATATCACCCGACCTACAAACCGCCTGTATCACCCAGTGAGGGTCAAAAGGAAATCAGTCAGGGCTGAGAAACTATACATAGGAGCCCTGAACCAGCATAACTGTCCTGTGTCATGATAATTTCATACAGTGCAAACCTTTCGGAGAATGGAGGTTCAGTGGAAGGGTTTGCTTTAAGCACAATAGATTAAAGTTTCATTTCTGAGTGAATATTCAAGGTCGTTAACTGGACTACAAAGCTACGAATGTCACGTATGTGCTTGTAACGTCACGCAACATCACTCCTAGGCGATACTAGGATGTGGTGGTAATAGACAGCGCACGTAAACTTTCTTATATGTCAAGTGGTAATATAAAATTATTATATATTTATATCTTACTAATATATATTGAAATTTAAATGCTAAAGAGAAAAGATTAACCGAAAACTGCCTACTCCTTGTGGTGATGCGTTGCTTGACACCAGTGTGACAGAAAGTGTTATGAGTGTATAAATATTATAATCGCACGTCCGCCGGGGCTGCATTCCCTAATACGGACTGACACTGTTCATGTAGATATGACTATTGGTCAGAGTTATTAATAGATTATGCTTGTCATGTGTATTATTAAATAAGCAACCACTTCAACATACGCTGAAAGGTAATAGACACATGACGATATATTTAGAAGATCCCGTCACGTTATTTTGCTTGTGTTGTGTGATTTGATTCCATATTGGCTTCAGTGCAAGGTGGATAGAGTTGCCCCCCTTTAGCCACTGGTTGGCCACACTCTTCGTGATCCCAGGCCGTTGTTCTTCCACAGTATTCCTGTGGTGGCCGACGGGGTCAAATTGTTGTTTTCTTCAATTCAATAAAGTAAGCTGAGATATTTTCAGTCACCTTCAAATTATGGAGGGAATGTTGAAATGTTCATACCATTCATTTGAACATAAGAACTCTACAGACGGAGGTGATGTTGAATCAATATATGTATTTCTGCGTAAATAGTAATTGATTGATTTATAGCCCTATTTAGAATATTTATGGTGCTTTGATAATGACCTATGACCATGACGGTATCCTACGGTTAATCAGTCATGGCTGATTGTATTGCAAAACACAGTATTACAATTGTGGATGTTCTTGTTTTGAGTAGTTTTTACAGTGTGACTGCCATAATACTGTTGTCCGTAAATATTCTTTTTGACATTTGATTTATGATCAACTTGTATTGTGTCTCTTTTCTTGTACAAATCTACAAGTACGTGTATATATGTACATGCATATCGTAATTTGATAAACACCGCTGTGAGTGGGTGAGTGAGTGTGGATTAACGCTGCTTTTTGCAATATTCAAGCAAAATCACATATGTATGTATATGTATGTATGTATGTATGTATGTATGTATATGTATGTATGTATGTATGTATGTATGTCTCCCCATCCCCCCTCTGTGTGTTGTTACATAACTAGGACTATTCGTGCTTGAACAGGTGTTAGGCATAAACGCTTTATCGATTTCTCGTATCCCCCTACCGCTCTCTCGCCTCGTTCTATCGCGTTCTCGCTTTCTCATATCGCTCTATCGCTTTCCCGTCTCGTGCTACCGCAGGAATATATATGGTGACCGAGAAGGGACATCGCTTTCTCGCCTTCAATTACGGCCGCGAGGAAGCGTTGTTCCTTCTCGGCCACCATATATTCCTGGAAGTAAACACCCTCCCTCACTGAGTATGGTTGGGCCTGTTTCAGTCGGGCCGTACAGGTCTCTGTGAATGTAGGGTTCAGTGTTTTCCTTAACAATGAATCATTATATTTCCCTCTCTGTGCACGTCCGACAAAACATTTCTATACCACACAACTTGGGATAGTGTATGGAGACTCGCCTATTCAGCTACAGCTGCAAAACCAGATACTGATTAATTTAAACTATGCGCCGAATTTTTTTAACGTATTTTTGGTGAGAGACAATTTCTACTTCTTTTTCAAAGGCCTGAAGCTTAATAAAAAATTTCAAGCATTTTCTAGGATAGTTTATTTGTTTCGATAACAGGTTTATAGCCACCAAATTCACTATGGTCACCATGTTTTGGGACAGCAATGTCATAATGCACGTCGGTTATTTACAACGTGGAACAATGGGACATACTATGACAACTAATTGAGGAGATTGCAAGAGTCTATCAATGAGAAGCGTGGCGCCATCGAGGTGTTGTAGCCCACCACAAGCACCATGCACAACAAGGGAGACACAAGGTTATGGATAACAACTTCTTTAATACTGTAAAAAGCGACGTTTTGGTATAGATCCTTATACCGTTGTCAAGCAATCCTTATACCGTGTCTGCTTGACAACGGTGTAAGGATCTATACCGAAACGTCGCTTTTTACAGTATTAAAGAAGTTGTTATCCATTAAATTGTGTCTACCTTGTCATCCGGCAACTTCTAAGTAATGCCTATAAAACAATTCACCATGCTCAAGTTACAGCACAGGAATGTAGGTACGGCCTTCTACCCCACCCATCCCCTCCACCAGATCTGCCCCATTTGACTACCTGTTTTCAAATTTGAAAAAAGAACCACTTCATAGTCACAGATTTAACGAGGACCAAGCATTTGGAGGGGAGTGGCCTTCCACAAAACAGAATCACTATGACACAAGCGGATGGACCTGCAAGGGGCGGTGTTGATAAATATTACGACATGACACAATCTCATTAAAATCAGACCTGAGTTCTCGCTGTCGCTAAACAAAGATCTGAGGACATCCCATTACGGGTCATGTCAGAACGACCTTTCGCGAACTTTGACCGACCACTGATATGACTTACAAGACGTCGACATCAGCCAATTAGAAAGCAGCTTTCTCGAGTTTTACGCTTGAAAAATAAGTTGACACAGTTCTCGATTAAAATTTTGAATACTGAACAAACGAACATTCCGGAATGTCTAATATATGGTTGAGATTGTATAGCAGTGTTTCCCACGTACTGTGCAACGCCTCCTTCGTTCAAATGTTTATCCCACGGAAGCGAGAGATAGGCGATAATTTTGACGGAACCAGTCGTACGGGCCGTAACTGCGACCTTGAACTTCTCATACATGATCTGCGCCATCTTCTCTTTTGTCTTTATTCAAATTATTTATTTCAAAATTATGTAAGCAAACTATGTGTCAGTCAAATAACCAATGTCCGCCATGTTGCAGGCGATGTCCCATTCGCATACTCTACATGATGTGTAGTGTAGCCCACAGACAAGGCTGTCAACATCACACAGCTGACCTGGATTCGATGCACAACATAGATTCCAGGGCTGAAATAGACAGCTGCAATGCCTTCACGTCAGTGAATTAGCTTATGAAGCGGCGTAAAATCCATGGTTATGCCCTCCCTGCACGAGAACGAGAATCTGTACTTTTCTAAGAAAATGTTATCCCAAATATAACATTTGTTACATTTGACAACTTTCAAATGACATTGTGTATCCATAGTTTTCGGCCGGTATCTAGAGGTCTACACGTTAAATATATTACCTACTAAGTTACCTGATATACAAAGAAAAGTGTCAGTATTACGTTTATGGACTGTCTCGAACAATTCACTTTTCAGAAACTCCGGACGATGTTGACGACATTTCCTCTGCCCGAAAATGGAAACAAAGCTTTGTGTTTTGGGTACCATATCTAGAATCAATATAAACACGTGCTTCCAGATCAGCAGGGCCTTATATGGAGATAACATGCCACAACCTCAATGCT